ACTCACTTCTCAGCCTACTATTCAAGGCCCGATTTGCCTAATAAGCCAAGTTTTCCTGAATTAATATATTTACTATAATTTTTTTCTTATGAAATGATAAAGCAACCCTTTTCTCTATGTATGAGGTCAATTTTTTTTTATTGGAGTTAAAATTAACGTAGATATATGACCGAACCTAACCAACTCTACCTAACCTAACCTAACCTATATTTATAGGTAAGGTTAGGTTAGGTAGCCAAAAAAAGCTAGGTTAGGTTAGGTTAGGTAGGTTAGGTTGACGAAAAAACATTAATTCATGAAAACTTGGCTTATTAGGCAAATCGGGCCTTGAATAGTAGGCTGAGAAGTGCGTTCTGGCTATTAGGTACGACATATATATATATATATATATATATATATATATATATATATATATATATATATATATATATATATATATATATATATATATATATATATATGTATATATGTCGTACCTAGTAGCCAGAACGCACTTCTCAGCCTACTATGCAAGGCCCGATTTGCCTAATAAGCCAAGTTTTCATGAATTAATTGTTTTTCGACTACCTAACCTAACCTAACCTAACCTAACTTTTTCGGCTACCTAACCTAACCTCTATAAAGATAGGTTAGGTTAGGTAGGGGTTGGTTAGGTTCGGTCATATATCTACGTTAAATTTAACTCCAATAAAAAAAAATTGACCTCATACATAATGAAATGGGTTGCTTTATCATTTCATAAGAAAAAATTAGAGAAAAATATTAATTCCGGAAAACTTGGCTTATTAGGCAAATCAGCCGTTCAATACGTGCCCCCTCGTCCTTTCCCTTCTGTGGTTCATTCTGGTTCCCCCTTCCCCCCCTGCTTCTGGCTCCGAAATGTCTGAGGGTCAAATATCTAGAAGGGGTGATGCCCCTTCCGGTGTGCGACGGAGGTCTTTGAATCCAATCCACCTGCCGAAGCCTCTGGGTCTGACCAGTGGGCCCCCTTCTGTTCGGCTTACTCGGCTGTGCCGGCCTTTTCTTTAAGGGCCGGTGCTCTGGGAAATGACTTGGCCCCGGGTCCCGAGGAGGGGGATCCTGGGGCAGGGGAGGGGCTGACATGGGGGGCCTTGGGCCCCTTTGGACCCCGGCTGGGTTTTTCTACCCTCAGAGTGGGGCTTATTGTTACATGGAGTGGGGTTCTCTTTTCCCCCCTCTACGTTCGACTTGGATTTGGTGTCTGCCGTTCCCCGGGTTCGGTTCCATGTTCCCTCGGGTGTGGCAGTTCCATCTTTCAGGAGGTTTTTGACTTCCCGCATCTAACCGTGTGCTGTGCGGGCGGCCATAGCGGCTTATCTCCTGCGTGACCCAGATTACGCCTCGGTGATGGATCCGTTGTCTTTCAGGTTTGGGACTTCGTTCTCTTTCTGGGTCTGTTACGAGGTTCCAGAGTCGTCCTGGCTGGCGGAATGTCCTATTTTTGCCTTGGAGGCCTGGCATTCTTTCTGTCGTTCCCACATGCTTGAGTGGCGCGAGGTCTTGACTGTGATTCAGGTGTTCCTGGGGGGGGGGGGGGGCGACCTTGAGCACCTCAATGAGTGCTTGTTTGCTCCTGTCCTTTCCCAGGATGTTGGCGTTCTGCAGCTCCATGTGCAGGTTCCCTCCCTTTCGGCTGAGCAGGTGGCCGAGGAATTGCATGCCAGGGGCCTCTTGGCTTCGGCCTTGCGCTTCTTTTTCCAACTGGAGCTGTCTTTGGACTGGCTTGGGAAAAATGTGGGGGCGTTCGGAGCCACTCCGAGGTCCTGTGCCATGGGCTTGGCTGCTCGCATGTCGGCTGCCTTCTTAAAGCTGTTTGCACCAATTTTGTGGGATGCGGTTGCCTAGTTTTACGCTGCCCGGCTTGTGTGTCGACAGGCAGTGCTTGCCTCCTTTCTGGAATCGGCCTGGGCCCTAGCTCATGCAGATATAAGGAGTGACCACCACACATCAGCTAGCCCTCCGCTGATATATAATGTCTGTATATAGTGAATAAAAGCAAAAGACAGTATGGTGGGAAGAGAAGGTTGGCGAGTCAGGTGAGGTGAGGTGAAGTAGGGAGGGAGTGGCAGCCAGTGGCGGGCTAGCTGGTGTGTGGTGGTCACTCCTTGCAGCTGTTTGACTGAGCATACCAACTTAGTGATTCCTTATAATGAACACAAATGTAGATACTTGTATATAACGTGTATATGTAGTGTAATGACAGCAAAAGGAGTGTTAAGAGAAGCCATTTTGGTGAGGGAGGTGGCAACATCTGCATGACTTACCATGCTGGGGTAAGGGTGGCTATGCTCTTTGGGCACTATACTGCCTTAGTTCAACAGTTATGGTGAACAAAACATGTAGATACTTGTATATAATTAGCAGTACCCGGCCACAGTATCCTTCCCTGTCCCCCAGTCCTCCCAACCATTCCCCAATCCAACGTCCCTTTGTCCTCCCCACCATTCTCCATTCCCGCATCCCCTCGTCCCCACCATCCCAAACTTCCCCATCCCCTTGTCCTTCCCCAGCATTACCCCCCTCCCTTGTCCTTCCCCAGCATTACCCCCCTCCCTTGTCCTTTCGTCCTGCCCACCATCTCTCACTTCCGTCCCCTTGTCATATCCACCATTCCCCACTCCCTCATCCGATGCCTTCCCTAATGGTCTGATGTTCTAACAGTCTCCGTGGTGTAGTGGTAAGACACTCGCCTGGCGTTCCGCGAGCGTTATGTCATGGGTTCGTATCCTGGCCGGGGAGGATTTACTGGGCGCAATTCCTTAACTGTAGCCTTTGTTTAACGCATCAGTAAAATGTGTACTTGGATGAAAAAACGATTCTTCGCGGCAGGGGATCGTATTCCAGGGACCTGCCCGAAACGCTATGCGTACTAGTGGCTGTACAAGAATGTAACAACTCTTGTATATATCTAATAATAATATATCTAATAATGTTCCCATCAGAATATTGGGAACAATAAGTGATCTGATATTCCCATCAGAATATTGGGAACAACAAGTGATCTGATATTCCCATCACTGAAATGTAAGAAAAACAGTTAAAAAATTAAATGAAAATATGAAAAATTAAAAAATAAACTATGCTCACGAAGTAAATGGTATGGCAAACAACACGGCTCAATTCCAACGCAATTTACACAAAATAATTAAATCAAAATGAAAATCAAAATCTATGAAAATTCAATTTATCAATGCAATCAGAAACATTGAAATGGAATTCGTGACATATTTAGTATAGCATGTGTGTTGCTCTAACCTGCAACAGATGGCGCTGTTTTTCAAGAAAAGCATAGTTTTACCTGTCACAGGTGTGGCATCTGTACTTATACTTACAAAATGAACGGTATGGTAAACAACACATCTCAATTCCAACACAGTCTTACAAAATAATTCAATAAAAAAAAATCGAAATCTATGAAAATAAAATTTATCAATGCAATCGGAAACATTGAAATGGAATTCGTGACATATTTAGTACAGCGTGCATGTTGCTATTATGTGCAACAGATGGTGCTGTTTTTCAAAAACGCATGTTTTTTACCTGTCACAGGAGTGGCGTCTATATAATAGGTATATAAAAAGTTGCGCCTATTCGAATGCAATGTTGTCAAAAGTTCAAAACAATCGGTGAAGAACTTTCGGAGATTACAGCGTGTGTTGCTCTTACGTCCAACAGATGGCACTGTTTTTAAAAAAAAAAAGCATGTTTTTTCCTGTGACAGGTGAGGCATGTATATAGTAGATATATAAAAAAAAAAAACGCTCTTATTCGAATGCAACGGTGTCAAAATTTCAAAGCAATCGGTAAATAGGTTTCAAAGATTTCCCTCACATGAAAAACAGTTTTTCAGAAAAAGCATGTTTTTTTACCATCACAGACGTGACATCTACATAGTATGTATGTAAAAACCTGGTCAGATGCGAATGGAACGTTGTGTGAAAATTTCAAAGCAATCAGTGAAGAACTTTCGGAGACTAGCGGTTATTCACAAATGAACATTTCCATTTTTATTTATATAGAGTATGTATATAGGGTAATAACAGTACAAACAGTATCCTTGAAGGAGGAATGTTAGTGTGCCTGGCATTGAACCAGTGACGATGGGAGGGAGCACGAGTTGTGTGTTGCCACCTGTTACTGTCTGCCGTCACCATACAAGATTAGTGGTTCGCTATGGGGATCACAAATGTAGATACTTATATATAACATGTGTATATAGTGTAATAACCGACAAAGTATTTGTTCACTGTTTTATGAACATAATAATTGATTCAATAATATGCACACCATAATTTTGAGTACAGCGATGATTCACACATTTTATTATATAAATATATCGCACTACACACTATTGAATAATATTAGAGCAAAAAACGAAGAAAAAATCAATTGGAGACATTCAAATAATTAGATAATTGTATCTTTGTGGCAACCCCCCGTCTGACAGCTGGGGGCAAAGCAGAACTCCCCCAATGCTTGCTGAGTCAGCGCCTCTTTTTTGACAGACTTCCCTGACCTATTGTGGCCAAAATATGCCACTTACGAATTTTTTATTATTTTTCCTGTGATCAGGGAACACAAATTAACAGGTTAAGATTTTTTTTTTTTTTTTATACGCCTGTGGGTGACAAACACCAAATTGCTCTTAGCAACACAAGGGTTAAACACTTCTAAAATTACTTCAAAGGTTTGGCAACACTCCCCAGCAATGTTTACATATATTTGATGTGTATAAGCATTAATATATCCCCTTTATGTGATCCCATACAAGCTAATGTGCTCTTAATCAAGATATCTTTTATCAAATTTACTGATACTCATTACTGGTTAAAAACGCATGAATGTAATAAACTGCATGTTAGTGGCTGTGAGAGTGTGTGTACCAGTTAATTGTCAAAGTACAGTAATGTAGTAACACAACTCATTGTATGTACCTTCTTGTATGTATTTGTAAATAAATATTTATCATTTCCTTTCAGGAGGGCCTTAGCAGGCTATTCAGTGAGTACGGGAAGGTTCTCAGTGTGTTCGTCGGAAAACCGAGGGAAGAATTTCTAAAGTCTGGTATCACTTGGGCCATTGTGAAAGTGGCGAGCATGAGGTAGCAACATCTTTTTACCAAAGTATTTTGTTCTTTTCTTTTGGAAGATATAACTCATTTGTTTTGCATTGTGTTTGTATTGTGTGTTTATGAACAAGTTATAAATGAAATATATGTATAATTACCTAAGTAATTATCTAAGTGTAGACACAGGGTGAGAGCTACGCTTGTGGTGTGCCGTCTTCCTCTGGTGACAGAGGAACACACAAAAATCCATTTTAAGAAATTAATGGTTGTTGTATGTTTTTAATATACTGTATTGTATTTTTTTTTTAGCTTAAGTGGTTTTACACTTGGCAAAAATATTTTAGATTTACAAATGCCCACATGCTTTCTCGGCGCCTCGGAATCTAAATTGAACGAATGATTTGTGTTCGGATAAGTGGTTCATCATGCAGAAAATCTAGGAGAAAAAATTTGACAATTATATGGAAAAATTTAGACAGTATTTTGTTTGTGCTCGCCAATATGTGATGATGTGATCCGCTTATTAGCTTGAAGATCATTGTTGGAGTACAGTATCGTTATTTAGATGGAAGTGGTGGTGGTGGTGGCTGTGATGTGTTTGGGTTGACTGAGGTGGAGATTAATGGTGATGAAGGAACCTCAAATTTTGAAAGGAAGATATATTTGTGGGGTAATGCTGTGTGGTGAATGTGAAATAATGATTGGAAATCAAGAAATTTAAAACTTTGAGAAGCAAAAATACATTACTGGGCATTTAGCTTAAATCCTGCTTTACTCACTAATGCAGACGAGGAACCACAATAAGGTGGCTGAAATATGTTGACCAAACCACACACTAGAAAGTGAAGGGACGACGACATTTTGGTCCATCCTGGAACATTCTCAAGTTGATTGTGAATCAACATTCTCAACTCGATTCACAATCGTCTTGAGAATGGTCCAGGATGGACTGAAACGTCGTTGTCCCTTCACTTTTTAGTGTGTGGTTTGGTCAACATACTCACTAATGTTAACATCACCTGCGAATCTTTAGATCTCTGAGATATGTACAGTCTCCGTGGTGTAGTGGTAAGACACTCGCCTGGCGTTCCGCGAGCGCTATGTCATGGGTTCGTATCCTAGCCGGGGAGGATTTACTGGGCGCAATTCCTTAACTGTAGCCTCTGTTTAACGCAACAGTAAAATGTGTACTTGGATGAAAAAACGATTCTTCGCGGCAGGGGATCGTATTCCAGGGACCGTAGGATTAAGGACTTGCCCGAAACGCTACGCGTACTAGTGGCTGTACAAGAATGTAACAACTCTTGTATATATCTCAAAAAAAAAAAAAAAAAAAAAAAAAAAAAAAAAAAAAAAAAAAAAAAAAAATATCAGGACAGTGTGGCCCATGCAACAGGTTATTTCAGCATAAAATTAAAAAATTGAGACAAGCTAAAGTATTCCAACACTGACAAGGAAGCCACAATCATTCTATTTTCCTGATCTGCTTCCTTGTACAGCCAAGTACATGGTACAATGTGCACATTGTCCGCAGCATAAAAATAGTAGACAGATTCATGCCCCACTCCAACTGTTCCCAGAGATTCAGGAGCTATTAGATCGTGTTGGGGCTGAGTTGACTGACCTGCATAATAATTACAATCATGATAAAGTCATTCTCCAAAGGGATTTACAATAACAGTTGGAACAACAGTAACCAGTGCAGGACTTGGTGGTGCATTCCTTAACTAGCTAAAATAAAAATAATATACACAATAAACAAATGGAGCCCTTTATAATTAAAAATAGGAATAATATTAAATCATTGTGTCAAGGGACAGGCAGCCAGATTGTATATACAGTTCATGTTAGGCTTATATCAAGGTCCTCCCCCCCCCCCCTAACACTGAATTACTGACCCTCGTAGGATGCAACCCCAAAACAAGCCGACTCACTCCTGGGTACCTATTTACTGCTAGGTTGGACAGACATATTAGGTGAAAGGAAACTTGCCTAACCATTTCAAACCGGGGATATGAACCGAGAATTCTCGATTGTGAGTCGAGAACAAACTCGACTGAACTATTGGAACAGAATGTCCTAATGACTAGGGGCCAGGTTCACAAAGCAGTTACGCAAGTACTTATGAACTTGTACGTCTTTTATCAATTTTTGGCAGCTTTGTTTACAATTATTAAACGGGTAATGAGCTCCGAAGCACCAGGAGGCTGTTTATAATAATAACAGTTGATTGGGAAGTTTTCATGCTTGTAAACTGTTTAATAAATGTAACCAAAGCCGTCAGAGATTGAGGAAAGATGTACTCATTCGTATGTACTTGCAGTTTGCTTCGTGAATCTGGCCCCTGGTATACAACTGTTTGAGTACTGCAAGCCTCCAGAGAGGACGTAACAATTCCCATAAAGATTGTTACACGTGTCCCCCTCCTTTAGTGAGGATGAGAAGTAGCAAGCTCATGCCCTTACAATGTTAAAGTGTTTGGATCATCATGTAATGAGCCAGGTGCAGATAATTCAATGCCAGGTTTCTTCAAAGACTTTGCAAAAGTGTCTTCAACTGAAATTTATTTCATTCTCTTTGCTCTTGTTTGGAAAAACTGCATGTACATACTGTATATGCTCATCATCGCCAGAGTGCCAAACTCACTTTTATTTGTATCCATAAAGTCAAGAATGCAGTCAAAATATATCCAAAATTTTCCGTGTTACCTTTTCCTTTTAATAATTCTTTTGTCAATTTCATCAACACTGATTTTTCTCCTCTGGCTTTTTTTTTTTATAACTAAATCTGTAATTTCACCGTCAATCATGTTTTGAAAGGTTGCGGCATCTTTGTCATAATCTATTTCAGCTTCTTGTGTTTCTGCCCCCAATTCTGCTCTCAGTTTTGGGTGCTTAATCTCTCTGACATTAGGAGTGTCTCTTAATTTGTTTTAAATGAGAATGAATCTAACCAAATTACACTCCACAATGTGAGTGTGCAGGCTAGCTGCTGCTTTGGTAGGAGTTTCAAATATAATGTTTCACATGAAAAGGCATTTACTTTGTTTCATCCAAAATGCACTTGAAAAGGGACCCGTCCTTACAGGAAACCATCGGGCCTCCTCCAGAAAGAGGCTTTTCATCACATTCAACACTAGATTTTTTAATTATAGTGGTTCATGTTATTTCTGTATACATATTTTCACAGGGATGCAATGACCATGATATCTGCATTGGACCATAAGTCACCTATGAATTTGAGGGTGGAATTGGCGATGACGGATGAAGAGAGAGGTAAAAGACGGAGAGAGAGAGACTTACAAAAGGCATATGATCAAATGGTAAGTAGAACCAGTATTTTTGTTTAGTATGTGAATTAAGGGATTTCACATACTATGTGAATTAGCATAAATATTGGCATGGCGTATTCCTAGACAATAGACTCAACTTCAGCACTCACATACAACACATAACTAAGAAGTCTAAAACAGTTGGTACACTCTCCAAAATCAGATATTATATACCTAACTCTGCTCTTCTTTCATTGTATTATGCACTAATCTATTCCTATCTTAACACTTTCGCACTCTGCGCGAGCGAGCCTCTCACTATCTAAGGTGGGTCTGGGCATTTCCGCACGCTCCCCAGGAGCATGCAGTAATTCTGAAAAGTATATACTCTTTTCAACTTTGTCACCTCAATTCTAGTCCTAAGATATTCAATTTGGTATCAATATGTTCGCAATAGAATTCTCTAGAGGACTAAATGCATATTAACTCCAAAAGCCCGACTTACCATCTGCAACAAACAGAGAAAGTGAGAGAAAGTTACCCGGGAGAACACAAGCCTGATAAAATGTTTACACTCTTTTCAGTTTTGCCAACTCAATTCTCGTCCTAGGTCTTTCATTTTGGTATCAATGTGTTTGCAATAGAATTCCCAACAGGAGTATATGCATATAATATCAAAAACAGCAGCAATCTCCTCCCACCGATGTGATGAAATCAGGCCGCGGTTACCAGAAAGAGAGCACTGCGCCACCCCAAGTGCCTCTCCTTACATTATAGAGCGCGGTAATTCTGAAAAGTGTATACTCTTTTCAACTTTGTCATCTCAATTCTCGTCCTAGGTTTTTCAATTTGGTATCAATGTGTTCGTAATAGAATTCTCTACAGGACTAAATGAATATAAATCCCAAAAGCCAGGTGAGAAAGTGAGTGTCTTATCCGGAAGCGGGCAAGAGCTCTCTCTTCACTTTGGATATCTCAATTCTCGTCCTAGGTTTTGATATCATTGTGTTCGCAATAGAATTCCCTACAGGAGTATATGCAAATATGAAATCCAAATCAAATGCCCGGCGTACCACCCAGAGCAAACAGAGAAAGTGACAGAGCGTTACCCGTGTGAGCGCTAATAAAGAGCAATATATTGGGTATTCTGTTTTCAACTTTGTTACCCCATTTCTGGTCCTAGGTCTTTCATTTTGGTATCAATGTATTTGCAATGAAATTCTCTACAGGTCTAAATGCATATGAATCCCAAAAGCCCGGCGAGAAAGTGTGAAAATGAGAGCGTGCTACACGGGTGCGTGCAGGAGCAATAAAATGTATACACTCTCAACACTTTGGACATCTCAATTCTCGTCCTAGGTCTTTCATTTTGGTATCATTGTATTCGCAATAGAATTCCCTACAGGCGTATAAGCAAATATAAAGTCCAAAAGCCCGGCTTACCACCTAGAGCAAACAGAAAGTGACAGAGCGTTACCCCCGTGAGCGCTAATAAAGAACAATAAAATGGGTATTCTGTTTTCAACTTTGTTACCTCAATTCTCATCCTAGGCCTTTTATTTTGGTATTGATTTATTCATAATGAAATTCCCTACAGGAGTATTTTCATATAATGTCCAAAATTGTGGCAAGACCTTCCCAAAAACGCCGCTACTTTTGCTGCCCGGAGGACTCAATGCCGAGTCCTCGCCGGACATCCCTCTAGTAAATGGGCAACTCAATGCTGAGTCGTCGCTGAGCGAAAGTGTTAAGATATGGGCACCACACAACCACTGCATATTCCAGCTTTGGCCTAACAAAAGTCGTGAACAATTTCTTTAGTATTTCGCCATCCATGTACTGTATTTAAAAGCAATTCTGAAGTTAGAAAGCATGGCATAGGCTCCTCGCATAACGTTCTTTGTGATCCTCAGGAGAAAGTTTTCTATCTAGAACCACCCCTAGATCTCTTTCTTTATCAGAATTCTTTAGGATTTCTCACATAATTTATAGGTTGTATGGGGCCTATGTTCACCTATTCCACGTTTCATAACATGACATTTATTCACATTAAATTCCATTTGCCAAGTGGTGCTCCATATACTTATTCTGTCCAGGTCTTCTTGAAGGGCATGACAATCATCTAAGTTTCTTATCCTTCCTATTATCTTAGCATCATCAGCAAACATGTTCATATAATTCTGTATTCCAACTGGTAGATCATTTATGTAGACAATGAACATCACCAGTGCAAGAACTGAACCCTGTGGTACTCCACTTGTGACATTTCTCCAGTCCAATACAGTGCCTCTGATCACTGCCCTCATTTTTCTATCAGTCAGAAAATTTTTCATCCCTGTTAGAAGCTTACCTGTCACTCCTCCAATATTTTATAGTTTCCAGAACAACCTCTTATGGGGAACTCTGTCAAGAGCCTTTTTTAGGTCCAGATAGATGCAGTCAACCCAACCATCTCTTTCCTGTAAAATCTCTGTGGCTCTATCATAGAAACTGAATAAATTCGAGACACAGGATCTTCCAGATCGAAAACCATACTGTCTGTCTGATATTATATTATTTCTCTCCAGGTGTTCTACCCATTTAGTTTTTATTATTTTTCCAATATTTTGACTATTACACTTATCAATGATACAGGTCTATAATGGAGGGGGTCTTCCCTGCTGCCACTTTTGTAGATTGGAACTATGTTAGCCTGTCTCTGTACATCTGCTATGACTCCTGTACACAGGGATGTCTGAAAAATCAGCCAAAGTGGTATGCTGAGCTCAACTGCACATTCTCTCAGAACCCATGGTGAAGCTCCATCTGGGCCAACTGCTTTGTTCTTACTTAGCTGCAAGAGCATTTGTTTCACTTCGTCTCTAGACACCTATGCTGTTCTATGTGCTCTATGTTGTTCTCTGGAATTCTTATTGTGTCTGGTTCCCTGAAGATCTCATTTTGTACAAACACACTTTGGAACGTTTCGTTTAATGTTTCATACATTTCCTTTTTATTTTCCGTGTATCTGTTCCCCATTTTCAACCTCTGATTATTATCCATTACCTGCAGCTTGTTTTTAATGAATTTATAGAAAAGGCTATACTGTATGTGTGTGTACTCACCTAGTTGTGCTTGCGGGGGTTGAGCTCTGGCTCTTTGGTCCCGCCTCTCAACCGTCAATCAACAGGTGTACAGGTTCCTGAGCCTATTGGGCTCTATCATATCTACACTTGAAACTGTGTATGGAGTCAGCCTCCACCACATCACTTCCTAATGCATTCCATTTATCAACCACTCTGACACTAAAAAAGTTTTTTCTAATATCTCTGTGGCTCATTTGGGCACTCGGTTTCCACCTGTGTCCCCTAGTGCGTGTGCCCCTTATCGTGTCCCTGTGTGTGTGTGTGTTTGTGCAGTATATGCAGAACACGCGTAATGTGTACTTGTATTTTGGTTTGTTGGCTCTCTTGGTATAGTAAAGTCTATGTACTTTGAAGCAGGTGGATGAACGTGTTACAAGGGTAACCAAAAACGAGCCACCACTTGCATCGCCTCAACTCAACCCAACCCATCCCCACCAGGTTTCTCTAGGACGTGGAAAAATGATCTCTTTAAAAGTAAGTGTCCTACATGCAAGATTTATTGGGTGTGTGTGATTGGTTTCCCCTTATAGTGTGCACATTATTATTTTTGTTTTTAAATTATTTTTAGTGATTATTTAAAGTACCATTCATTCAGATCTTAAGAAATATAGATTTATGAAGATGTCACCGGAAATATTTAGAAGATGTTTTACTAGTTTAATGGTGGTAATACTTAAAGAGTAAATGAAATGTAAGTAAACATTTGAGAAATTTTCGCATCTCTAAAGCGGTTGTGGATAGTCATAGATAGTCATAGAAGCGATAGTCATAGATTATGACTATGCTGTACCTAGATTTGAGCAAAATATTTGATACTGTAACTTACAGAAGACTGATCAGGAAGGTAGAGGTACATGTTAGAGGAGGGAATAAACTCAATTTAATTAGGACATGGTTATTTTCCTGAATTTACCTGAGGACCACTGATACTAGTGGCCTTGTAGAGGACAGAAAGCCGGCGGTTTATTGTCAGTGCAGTCAAGTCACAATTGGAAGGTCCCAGTTTCATATCCCACACAGGATGGAAAATGTTTGGGTATGTTTCATTTCACCTGATGCCTATGTTCACCTAGCAGTGAAAATGTAGAGGTGGGGGGGCTTATGTAAGCCTAACAGGCTTCGTGTCCCCAACAATGGAAAATCAAGTTGGAATGAAAGTCTCAAGTGAAGTGTGAAGTGAAATGTAATTGATGACATTCGATGACGCTTTGAATGAAGTGTGATTGATGACTCCTCGAGTGAAGTGTGATCGATGACACCGAGTGAAGTGTGATCGATGACGCCTCGAGTGAAGTGTGATCGATGACGCCTCGAGTGAAGTGTGATCGATGACGCCTCGAGTGAAGTGTGATCGATGACGCCTCGAGTGAAGTGTGATCGATGACGCCTCGAGTGAAGTGTGATCGATGACGCCTCGAGTGAAGTGTGATCGATGACGCCTCGAGTGAAGTGTGATCGATGACGCCTCGAGTGAAGTGTGATCGATGACGCCCCGAGTGAAGTGTGATCGATGACGCCCCGAGTGAAGTGTGATCGATGACGCCTCGAGTGAAGTGTGATCGATGACGCCTCGAGAGAGGTGTGCCAGGTTTCTGCCCTGGCACCTCTGTTGACCATTCAGTATACACATACAGTAGCTCACACACAGGATTGAACACAGAACTAATGAGACTAATGAGAAAGGAATGGAGTTTCAAGGAGATGGTCATCCCGGGCTGCGAGGGATTCAGAGACTATATAACAGGCACCATTACAATGGGAGGACCAAAAGTATTAGTAGCAGTGATATATAACCCTCCACCAAATGACAGAAGACCAAGGCAAGTGTATGACAACAACATGATGTCAGTTAACACTATAATTGAGAAGGCAGCCTCTGCTGCCTGTGGAAATAGATCCCATCTGCTCATCATGAGGGACTTCAGTCACTGAAGGATAGACTGGGAGAACAAGGAACCTCATAGAGGAGAGGATACATAGAGAGCCAAACTAATGGAGGTGGCGACAAGAAACTTTCTAAGCCAACATGTCAGGGAACCCACTAGGATGAGAGAAAACAATGAACCAGCGAGACTCGACTTAGTCTTCACTCTGAACGACTCTGACATAAGGGAAATCGACTTTGAGGCCCCAGTAGGAATGAGCGACCACAGTGTACTGACGTTTGAGTATCTAGTTGAAGAAGGGTTATTGAACTCGAGGAGGGGGGTACTGAAAACAAAAGGCTGGCATTGTGAAAGGGAAACTATGAGGAGATAAGAAAATTCCTAACAGATATAACATGGAAAACAGAGCTCAGGGGAAAAGACGGCCCAAGACATGGACTACATCACACAGAAGTGCAAGGAGGCAGCAAACAAATTTGTCCCAGTCCAAAAAGAAAACAATGAAATGAAAATGAGAAACCCATGGCGGAATGAATGTCAGGATGAGAAGAGAGGCAGAAAGACAATACGAAAATGACATTGCAAGCAAAGCAAAGACTCAACCTCAATTGCTGTGCAGCCACATCAGGAGAAAAACAACAATAGAGGAACAGGTAATGAAATTAAGGATAGGGCCAGAAGGATTCACTACAAACGACAAGGAAGTGTGTGAGGTACTGAATAAGAAATTCCAGGAGGTCTTCACCTTAGAGCAAGAAGAAATTCGAGGGATAAGAGAGGGAATTGTTAACCAGGAATCACTAGAAAAGTTTGAGATTAACAGTGGGGAAGTAAAGAAGTTTTTAATAGAGTTGGATGTGACAAAGGCCATAGGCCCAGATGGAATCTCCCCTTGGATACTAAAGGAAGGAGCAGAAGCATTGTGCCTGCCACTCTCCATAGTGTATAACTAATCACTGGCAACAGGGGAACTGCCAGAAATTTGGAAAGCAGCTAATGTAGTCCCGATATACAAGAAAGGGGGGGATAGACAGGAGGCACTGAACTACAGGCCAGTGTCCCTAACCTGCATACCATGCAAGCTGATGGAGAAGATTGTGCGAAGAAAGCTAGTAGAACACCTGGAGCGAAAGAATTTTGTAACACAACATCAACACGGGTTCAGGGATGGCAAGTCCTGCCTCACAGGGTTAATTGAATTCTACGACCAGGCAACAAAAATCAGGAAAGAGAGGGATGGGCAGACTGCATATTTTTGGATTGCCAGAAAGCCTTTGATACAGTACCACACAAGAAGCTAGTGAAAAAGCTGGTGATGCAGGCTGGAGTGAAAGGGAAGGTACTCCATTGGATAAGGGAGTACCTAAGCAGCAGAAGACAACGAGTCACTGTGAGGGATGAGGTCTCAGATTGGCGAGATGTCACAAGTGGAGTTCCGCAGGGGTCAGTCCTTGGACCTATGCTGTTTCTAATATATGTAAATGATCTCCTAGAGGGTATAGACTCGTTTCTTTCAATGTTTGCTGATGATGCAAAAATTATGAGGAGGATCGAAACAGAGGATGATAGTAGAAGGCTACAAGATGACTTAGACAAACTGAATTTTGAATGGTCCAATAAATGGCTGCTAAAGTTTAACCCGAGTAAATTTAAAGTAATGAAACTAGGCAGTGGAAACAGGAGGCCAGACACAGGATACAGAATAGGAGATGAAGTACTTAATGAAATGGACAGAGAGAAAGATCTAGGAGGTGATATCACACCAAACCTATCTTCTGAAGCCCAAATAAAAAGAATAATGTCTGCGGCATATGCAAGGCTAGATAACATCAAAACCTTCAGGAACCTGTGTAAGGAATCATTCAGAATCTTGTATACCACATATGTAAGACCAATCCTGGAGTATGCGGCCCCAGCATGGAGCCCATACCTAATCAAGCACAAGACGAAGCTGGAAAAAGTTCAGAGGTATGCCACTAAATTAATCCCAGAACTAAGAGGCATGAGTTACGAGGAAAGGCCGCGGGAAATGCACCTTACAACACTGGAAGACAGAAGAGTAAAGGGAGACATGATCACTACCTACAAAATCCTCAGGGGGAATTGACAGGGTAGACAAGGTTAAACTATTCAACACTGATGGTATGCGAACAAGGGGGGACAGGTGGAAACTGAGTACCCAAATGAGCCACAAGCTCGTTAGAAAGAACGTTTTCAGTGTCATAGTAGTTAACAGGTGGAATGCATTAGGCAGTGATGTGGTGGAGGCTGATTCCATACACAGTTTTAAATGTAGATATGATAGAGCCCAGTAGGCTCAGGAATCTGTACACCAGTTGATTGACAGTTGAGAGGCAGGACCAAAGAGGCGAAGCTCATCACCCGCAGGCACAAATAGGTGAGTACAGCATTTTAAAGTTTGCTAATTTCCACTAAAATAAGATGAAAAGTAAATTCATAACATTTAAAATTACCACCGGAGGACTTAGATAAGGGGCTCTTGGCCCTTAACCCTTGTGCTGCTCAGGGCTAATTAGGCTAATTTTCTTCTAACCCTGTTAATTTGTGTTCTCTGGTCATGGGAAAAATACAGAAACATTGTGATTGCACGCTAAAACATTGTTTACATCATTTGCTGTATAATACCTGCAATTTTAATCATTAAAGTGATGATTGTCATAGATACTAAATAAGAGGTTAAAATCTGGGTCTATAATAGTTTGCATAAGAGGGCTGTTTTACAGAAAAGCCAAAAATGGCAATTATAAAAGAACTAGATATGAAAAAAGAATATATAAAACTATACACAAAAATGAGGTAGGTTGCTTAAAGGTACTTTCAGGTACGCTGAAGGTAATAATTTATTTATTTATTTATTTATTTATGCATATAGAAGAAGGTACATTGGGAATGTGAGGATACATAATATGGTAATTACAGTCTTGTAAAGCCACTAGTACGCGCAGCGTTTCGGGCAGCAATTTGCACTAATGATCAAAATTGCACAGGCAAAGCCAAGAGCACAATGGAGCAATGGTGGTGAGGTTAGGCAACCTGGGTTACAAAGAAAAAGTAGAATAAAAATTTTAAAGTAATATAAACCTAATGGTAATGTAAGTAATAAAACCTGGGTTACAAAGAAAAAGTAGAATAAAAATTCTTAATATAAACCTAATGGTAATGTAAGTAATTAAACCTGGGTTACAAAGAAAAAGTAGAATAAAAATTCTTAATATAAACCTAATGGTAATGTAAGTAATAAAAACTTAATGGGAACTTAAGAAAAGTAAAAATGAACTAGAATAATTAATAACAATAGATGACCAATAAAAATATAAAAGAATTAAGAAATCTATAAAACAAATAGCTTACTATAATATTATAAGTACACTGTAGTTGAATACTAAAGTTACACTAAAACAAAATGAGGTAGATGAAATAGAGATACACTGAGGTACAGTGGATGATAAAGTTTATACTAGAGGACACAGGCAAAGCCAGTGTACAATGGAACAAGGGAGTAAAAAAGAAAAAAAAGAGAGAATAATATAGATGACAATTTTTTTTTTAAATAAAGTTAAGACTTTTTGAAAGGAAAGGCAGAGCTATAGTACACATTGGTAGTTAAATGAGATTATGTTCTCATGTTAGAGGTTCCTCTTATGTTAGAGGTTCTGGTCTACCTCGACGACTGGCTGGTGTGGGCCAGCTGGTCTGCGTGCCAGGGGTTTGATTCTTTCCCAGCTCGCCAGGTTTGGGTTCTTGGTGAACTGGAGGAAGTCCCATCTGATTCCCTCTTAGGTTCGAACTTGGCTGGGTTTTGTCTGGGACTCTCGGACTGCTTCCTTGTCTCTTCCTCCGGGGTCATTGCTGCTAATGCGGTCCCACCATTGGCTGTTTCTGGGGGCTCCTGGGTCACTCGTCAGTTGCTCGAGCAGCTGTGTGGGAGTCTGAACTTAGCCGTGCTAGTTTACCCACTGGGTCGGGTGTGGTCTTGGTGGCTATTCTGGTTCCTTCGAGGACGTCCCTTCCACCATTGTTGCTATCGTTGGGATGGGCCCCCAGGGACCTTGCATCACCCACTGCGTCGCTGGCTTCCTCTTTGGGTTTTTCAGGGTTCAGTGCCCTGGCACCTACCAGAGCCCTCACTCGATGTGTTCACGAATGCATTGTCTCTTGGCTGGTGTTTTGTGACCAGCGTTCACCAGGCTGGCCAGGGTCGGTGGGGTCTGTCGTTCCATCAGGCTCTCAGCGCAGTGCATGAGTTTGCGGCAGTGTGGCTGTCACTTCAAAGGGCTCGTATCGCTCATGGATTGATGATCCGGCTCCATTTGGACTGTGGTTCATTGCCTGAACCGAGGGGGGGGGGGTCAATGCTGTCCTTGGCTCTTCTGGGCTGGTGGCTCCAGGTGACTTGTCTGCTGGCTCCAGGTGACTCATCTGCTGAGTTCTCAGGGTTTGGCTGTCGTGGATGTTTACATCCAGGGGGTGTCCAACATCATGGTGGATGGCCTATCCCGGTTCATTTCCTTTTCCACACAATAGAAGGTAGATGCCGACTCTTTCTGTTGGCTCTGCCTGATGTACCGGTGCTCTTTGTGTAGGCATGGTCGAGGCATTTCCCGGTATATACGGCGCCCTTCCCTGACAGCAAGGCCCTCGCCCTCCTCATAACCAGGTTGAAATTAACTAATACTACCAGATCTGACAGTTTTTTTTAGGCCAGCCTTGCTCCGATGGCAAGGCCGTCTGGGTCGATGCCTTTCGGCAGAACCGATCGAGGTGGGGTTCCCTAATGCCTCTTCCCACCGGTTCAGCTGTTGCTTCGGGTTCTGGTTCAGTTGGAGACTTGCCAGGGGAGAATTGTCCTGTTGCCCCCTTGGTGGCCGGCCCAGCCTTTGTTTCTGGCGCTGCTTGCTCGGTGTCCAAACTTCGATCTTCTTCGATCTTTGCTTCTGGTTTTTCTGATGCGGGTTTATCACCACATGTTTTGTGATCAGATGGCTTCTTTGATGGTATCTAACCTGTGTGTTTCATCTTGGCGGCAGTATGAAGTCTCCTAGAGGTCCTCTTGTCATTTTTTCTCTCTTCGTAGGTTGTCTTCGGTTTTGGATCAGGTTGTTTTGTCCTCTCTCTTGGCTGTTTCTAGACCGTCTTCTTATGCTGAATACTGTCACCTCATATCATCGTGCAGTGTTGGCAGAGCCACTTCTGCTTGCGTTTGGGGTGGATGTTACTTCTGCGCTGTTTTGCATGCTATCACGTGCATTGTTCCACCTCTGGCCTGCTCATTTGGAATTGTTTTGATAAGGCTATTTTCTTGCTGGCATTTGCCTCTTGGGCGGGGGGGGGGGTCAGGTCGGGAGCTTCATGCTCTCCTCAGGTGCAGTGGTTTCAGCTCTTTCGGTCCTGGTAGTATGTTTGTTCATTTGCAGCCGTCTCCTTTTCTGGCAAAGAACGAGACTGAGGCTTTCCAGAGGGGTCCTTGGGTTGTAGATTGGTTGGTTTGGCTAGGGGTACATCATGTGTTGCCCAATTGTGGCTCTTTGCCATTATTTGTGTGCCACAGCCTTGGTGGCCGGTGATGCGCTTTGGGTTGACCCAGTTTTCCTTCATCCCTTCTCATCTCGGATCTCCCAGGTCGTCTACAGGGTTTTTCGGTCCAGCCAACCTGCGGTCTATCCTCGTGTCCTTGACATTCGCAAATTTGCTGCTTTAGCTGCCATATTTGGTAATATGTCTTGGGCTGGCATTCGAGCACAATGACTTGGGAGGTTGAACAGGGTCCTGGCCACCCGTTACCTAGTCAATTTTCCTTGCCCTAGTTGGGCGTGTGTCGCCTTAGGTTGCAGCGAGTTGTCTCGACTTTGAGTTAAGGTGTGAGTCGCGGCTGCCTCCGGGTAAGTCCCTCTTTTTCTTTTCTGTGGTTAGGTAGCTCCAGGGAGATGGAGGGCCTCTCCACAGAAAACCAGCGTTGAATGTAATGAAACACCATTTTCTGGGTGAGTCCTGGAGGATTCCCGGCAACCCTCTCTCGCTCCGGTCGGAGAGTTTCACGTTTTTGATATTCGGCTTCTGTACTGACGTTGGATGGCCGGCACAGGGGTCTGGGATTCCACCTTCCCTCTCCCGGGAAGGGAGGAGCTGGGCAGACAGCAGCGTGGCAGTGGTTGTGATGTCATGCTTGTTTGCTTGTTTTCAGATTGTTGAATTCTGCTGGATAGTTCAGCTTTCGGTAGCAATTTTAACCAGGTGGAGTTTGTTTTGGGATGCCCACCTTTCTGGGTGCCTAACCTGGTTGATGGTAGATATGGAATGCTTCCAACCACATGGGGGGTTTCTATAGGCCATTGCTCCTCATGCCTCTCTGATGCCACAGTCTAATACAGTACATACATATCAGCCTGGTAAGCTCTGGGGAGCCTCTGGGACTCGCCCAGAAAATGGCATTTCATTATATTTAATGCCTTTTTTTTTACCAAAAAATGCAACTTCTTCAGACCACAGCAGCTAAACTTCTAGAGGTAGAGACTTTTTACTTGGATTTCATACTTCCTGAGTGTTAATTAACAACACAAAAAGAAAAATACTATTTTTGGGACAGGTTTATTTTCAGCGCACCAGAGGAATGCCATTTTATAACGTGCATAGTGCAAGGATGCAGGATGAATAGAAGTGTAGAATATCCCTTTAAAATAAATCTCCTAAATTAAAAACTATGCAGAAATATTTGTCATTTTTGTATTTACAGCACAAAAAAAATGACGTGGCGTTTGGTCAGCCGGGAAAAGTAAACTTCAACACCAAACAAGGGTATGTAACCATGCATTTGTTGTGAGAACTTTTATTCATATTTTGATTGCAGTTACAGTATTTATATACGATCTGGCAGTATTGAAAGTTCTAGTTTTAACTTTCTTGTTTATGATTATACAATAATAATAATACCATTTTGCACAAATATTTATATAGGTTATGTAAAGGTTTGATGAGAGAATACTGTACTAACAAGAAGTAGGCTAACACAAAAGATTTTTCAAGACATTTGCAAGTGATTTCCAGTTTTAGGGAGAACATAACACAAAATGAAGGAGAAAATGAGTATTGTAATTGGGGAATAGACTGTACTTAGAATAGCAAGGGATGGGGGGGGGGGGGAATCATTATTGAATTGTTGAAAGGTTTGAAAAGAATTGACAATTATGAGACATTTATAAACAACAGCTGCTGTAATGACTGGTTTGTATAGTTTATCATTTGTTGTTATTAATGTAAATGTTTCTCTTAGTTAAAATGCCAGATTTTACTGGTACAGTTCTCCAGAGTATGGCTCTCAAGCACATACCCCTACACTGCTCTAACAGTACATACAGTAGTTACTGTTTATTAAAACTAGACAAGAATAAGAAAAATAGCATATAATGCTTTATCGTACATAGGAACAGCAGTATTTTTGAACGGCAAATTTGAGGCAATTAATAAGTAATGTTCACAATAACAGCAAAACACAGGTTGACACGAAAGGTAAAAAGAGGCAAGGAATATTGATTAAAGTTAATAAGGTAGTTTGCAGTTTATCTTTTAAACTGGACAAGAGAAGTACATTTTTTCATCTCATTTGGGAGGGAATTCCACAGTTTAGGAACCCTTGATTTGCAGTATGTTTTTGCTTTTATTAAGTCGCACTCTTGGGATACGAAAAAGATATTCGTTTCTCGTGAGATGCCCGTGGGTTCTGTTAGAGCCCATGTTCTGTTCAAGGAAGTGCTTAAGGTCAGGATAAGCATTGCTTTTGTATAGTTATATAGATGTAGAGCACACTTGAGAGGCCATGCAGTGACTTGATTCCTAACACATTCAAGGATTTCAGTAAGGGAGCTGTGTGCTGTCTGAGATTGGGCTTTGTTAAAGGTGTAGCTGATTGATGTTGAGTAATTAGTGGTCAAAGGTAATTTTGGGTTGTAGATCCCCCAGGCACAGATACTATAGGTGAGATGTGCATAGATGAGTGAATAATAGTGGATTGCCAAGGCAGAATGAGTGGACTTTCTTTCAGTTCAGTATTCAGAGTATCATTTAGAATAAGTGGGTTAGCATTAGAGAAAATGAAAGTTGTCATCAGCAAATAGAATTGACTTTAAATGTTGAGTGAAGGAATAGAAATATCATTGATATAAGGAATTAGGAATATCATTGATGTAAACAAGAAAGAGGAGTGGAACAAGAATACTACGCTGTAATTACCAATGTTAATAGCATAGTGGGAAAGTTAGCATTAATCACAGAACTTTACTGGAGGCCTATATAAATAATTAAATAAATACACTGAGATTAGCAGTGTTAAACCATTTTAGTTCATGCTGGAAATCATTATACAAAATGTCTGAAGTGCAGAATTTCTTTAATGTCTATTTAATTCTTCCACAGCATTACAGCTTCAGCCGTCACAAATGATGACTCTGCACCGAGTGTAACACAGTGTCAACCAAGAGGCAACAAGGTAAATTTGTCTAGTTTTATCCTGTAGCACAGTGGTCTACATCCTTGGTTTACAATCTAGGGACCCAGGTTCAATCCTCGGACAGGACAGGGATGTTTTGGCAATGTTTGCTCTTTGAAACGAGTTAATTGTATGAATTATACCAGTTTATGTAAAGTCTACTGAAAACTTTACGGTTAAAAAGTAGACTTCATTTTGGAATCCTATTGCTGGATATAGGAGGCTTGTTAAGCTTATCAAGGACCCTCCCTAGGCCAGCAACTGACTTTACCCAAGATGCAACCCATAAATTCCCTAATTCCTATATATCTACCCTTGTGCTAGGTGAACAGAGACATGAGATGCAAGGAAGCATTGATGAAGTGTGTGTGTGTCCTGCGAGGGAATCCAACCAGGGACCTTGTGGTTGTGAGCCGACTGCAATAACCACTGCGCGTTATTACCAGCAGTGTTTTTTATTTTTGTTTTTTGCCCTTGCTCAAAACTGACTTGATAGTAATAGTAACCAATTTCACATTCTATTTAAAATATTAAAACTAGATCAAAACAGCTATCAGCAGTGTTTTTAAAATAGTTTGTTTTTGCAAAAGCATTGGCTTAAAGGCGGTGATAGTAGTAGTATAATAATTTGAATAATTCATTGTCGGGAATCAGATGCCAGTGTATATAAATGTTAGGCTTATATCGAGGTTCCGGCTCATGGTTTAGAGCACAGACCAAAGGATGGGGGGGACAGAAAGCCTAGTGAACACTATTAACCAGACCTCAAGAGAAGGCTGGAGCAGCATACTTGGAACCAGTGGTCATTATGAACAACTCCAAGTCCACATCAAGAACATCATGGGGTCTGTCTCTGGGGTAACCAAACAGCTGCAGCATCACAAACAACACAGACTGGGAAAACTCCTTTAAGGCAGCAGCCACCTGTTATGCCCCAGTCCCAGAATGGGAGGGGACTCGGCCAAATCAGACCCAGACACACCACACTTCGCAGACATCAAGCTGGAAATTTGCATACTTCAAGAACAGGCTCAGTGTGAAGGTCTATAGCCAAATCATGCCATAGGGACCTGCAGAGGCTTCCCAGTACCAGTAGGAAAATCCTACATGGAACCCCATACATGGTTGACACTTTTCAAGCAAACACTGCACCTAGCTTGGGGAAGAACACAACTGAGGAGGGTATAGGTGGTGTGCAGCAAATCTAGCAAGCATACATCCCCCCCCCCATGCACCATGTCATGAAGTTAAGACAGACAGAACCTTGTCTATCTTAACCTTACAGTCTCAAAGAGTACTCAAAGTCCCTTGCTTTAACCAGAGAGATACACCTTGAGAGGAGGCGGTCTTGATGGAACACACATACGAACCCTCCAGAGTGACTCGAGGTTCACACACAGTAAACTCGACCACACTGCAGCAGTTTGGTTGAGAAAGAGCATGCACTTGAACCCAATGCCAAAAATCATAACAAATACAAAGGCCCCTGCAGGACAGAATCCTTAAGATAGCTAACACATAAAAAAACTGGGACAAGGAAGGTGATGGGATACAGTGAACTCTGGCTTTGATTGCAACAGGTGCATGACCGATTACGTTTCACCGGTTGAACCCCGAGCTGTCGGGGTTGCCACATGGCAATGGAGACAGGTGAGAGCTGTAACTAGCGGAGGTAATGACCTAACTACTGAGTGTCTAGTGGTCAGGGATTGCTAATATTTTCCTTGCAGGTGCGTGCTTTGTATCATTCTACCATTCTGATGATATTTCCTCTTAATCCTTTGCTGAGTAATTTTCCTGACTCCATGTGCCTCTTTGAGAGGACAAGGTTCTGGTCTGCCGTAGGTTTTTATAACTTGCAAGAATCTGAAAGGACATGTAACTACCTAAGTGTAGTTACAGGATGAGTGCTACACTCACGGTGTCCTGTCTTCCCAGTACTCTGTCATATAATGCTTTGAAATTACTGATGGTTTTGGTCTTCACGGCCTTCTCACTTACCCTCTTCCAACCATCGCCACTCTATTTGCAAAAGAGAACTTTCTAATCTTTTTCTGGCTAAACTATTACCTTAGTTTGAATCTATGCCTTTTTTGTTTCTGAAGTGGTAGGTTTAAAAAATACTGTACCTCTTTGCCAATTTTGTCAATTCCTGTTACCCTACTTATTTTGTATATATTGATCATATTACCTATTTTTTCTATCTTCTTTCTTTGATATATTTAAGACCTATAGCTTTTCCTCTTGGCTCTTGTTTTTCAGTTCTGGAAGGCATTTCGTAGCATGCCTTTGCACCTTTTCCAGTTTATTGATGTGTTTCTTGAGATGTGGGCACCATACAACTGCTGCCTATTCCAATTTTGATCTCGCAAAAATTATGAACAGTTTTTTTTAATATTTTACCATCCATGTATTTATAGGTGATTTTAAAGTTGGAAAGCACAGCATAGGCTCCTCACACAATGTTCTTTATGTGGTCCTTTGGTGTCAGTCTACTATTCAGCACCTTACCTATATCTCTTTCTTTGTCAGAGTTCTTTAATACTCTGCCACGTAATTTATAGCTTGTGTGTGTGTGGCCAATTTTCTCCTCTTTCACATTCCATAATGTGCCATTTATTCACATTGAATTCCATTTCAAATAAAAAATCAAATCAAATGTTTATTTAGGTAAGGTACATACATACAAGAGATTTTACAAAGAGTGATGGATTTATAGTTAGGGCTAGTACATACAATGCCTAAAGCCACTATTACACAAAGCGTTTCGGGCATGAAAAACTTAAATGACTAAAGCTTAATACTAATTGAACATAAAGAGTAAAATGAAAACATGGAATGAAAACATAGCTGAAAAAGCTATTTGCCAAGTGTTGCTTTATACACTTTGTCCCGGTCATTTTGAAGGACATGACAGTCATCTAAGTCTCTTACTGTCCACTTGAGACTGTCAAAAGGCTTTTTTTTTTCCTCTTGGGTCTAAATAAACACGGGTAATCTAACCATCTCATTCCTATGCAATCTATTTGGCTCTATCATAAAAAACTCAGTAGATTCGTTATACAGGATCTTCCTGCTTGAAAGCCATACTCGTCTGTTATTGTATCATTTCTCTCTCAAGTGTTCTACCATTTAGTTTTAGCTATTTTTTCTAATGTTTTGACCACCACACTTGTCAACAATACGGGTCTATAATTCAGAGTGTCTTCTCTGCTATCAGTTTTGTAGATTGGAACCATGTTTCCCTTTTTCTATATATCTGCTAAGATTGCTACACATAAAGATGCACGAAAAATCAATTGAAGTGTAATGCCCAGCTCTGATGCACGTTATCTCAGAACCTAAAGTGAAACGTCATCTGGGCCAACTGCTTTGTTTGTGCCTAACTCCTTGAACGTCTTCCACTTTGTCTCAAGACACTTAAGTACAGTATTCTGTTGTCCTCTGAAATCTGTTTTGTCTGTTTCTCTGAAATCCTCATTTTGCACAAGCACAGTTTGGAACTGTTCATTTAGTGTTTCACACATTTCCTTTTCATTCTCTATCAATCTGTAGAACTTCCCAGGCTACTAGCTTCCAGGGAGTCACCAAGGTGTTCTTTTTCCTGAAAGAGATTTAAATTCCCATTTGCAAACAGAGTAGTAGACGTATAGAATAAATTCAATGAAAGGGAAGTGAATGCTTAGACAACAGGAAGCTTCAAAACTTCATTTAACAAAAATTATAGGGAAGACAACATGCTATGAGAATAGCTTTTGTCCTGTAACTAAATTTAGATAATTACACAAATAAGCACTTGCATACACACACACGCATTAATTTGCGATTTTAAGCTTATCAAGTAAAAACATTAATTAGTTTTACATTTATCCTCATGGCCAGGATTTTGTGGAAATTGGCAACGGCACCGTGGTTGAAGGGTGGAAGCCACCTCGTCCCTGTATATCATGTAAAAACGACGGCAAGTTAAGGTGCTCGGTGTGCAAGGCCTGGTATTGTAGCAAGGAGTGTCAAGTAGATGACTGGTACTACCACCGACACGACTGCATCCCTCCACCGTGAGTATTGTATACGACTTGTACTGCCAAAGTGAGGCCTAAATAATAATAATACATACTGTAATAATAATAATACAGTAATAATAATGAAAAAATCCACTGGGGCTGTGAGGTGACACGATCCTGCAGCCAAGGCACTGCTAGCCGCATACTCTACCTCTGTACCACCGCTGCTTGAAAAAGTCACACAACCGGATTTCTACTGAAAACACAGGAAGTCTTCTGAAGCCAGTCCAAGTTTTTACACATGATCCACAAGCATTCCTGTGGAAGGGCACAGTGGTTCTACAAAGTCAGTGGTGGTACAGTGGTAGAGTATGTTGCAGGCAATGCCTTGGTCACAGGTAGGCATTGGCCCACAGCCCTGGCGGATTTTCTCATTTATATATATCACATTAGTGCGATATCTGTGTAAATAATAATAATAATAATAATAGTAATAATAATGATGATAGTAGTACTGTAATAATAATAATACAGTAGTAATAGTATTTAAAAATAAATATATACGCAGTACAGAAGAACATAATAGTGGTTAATTAATTGTTATAAAATGTGTATTTAATATAGCCAGTAATATGCAGATCATTTTGACCATAACAGAATAATTGAGTTAGATTATATATAGATTGTATTTAGATTATATTATGTATATATAGATTGAGGAGTCTTGGTAGCACAGTTGGGTTCAATCTTGACGCACAATAAAGAATTCCGGGTTCAAATCCTGGGTGGGATAGAAATGGTTGGGCACATTTCCTATCACCTGATGGCTTTGTTCACCTAGCAGTAAGTAGGTACCCAGGAGTTAGCCAGCTTGTTGTGGGGTTGCATCCATCCTGGGCGGGGTCAGTAATTTGACGGGGGGGGGGGGGGGGAGGAGGCTTGATATAAGCCTAACGTGTATTGGAATACACTCTGGCTTCCTGTCCCCCGACACAATGATTTATCACTAAGTTATAGATCTGATGAGGGTATAATACTAAACGAGAAATAAGGTAACTTCTAGCTTATTGTTCAAGATTGTTCGAGAAATTTAACAAGTGATGTACATATATCAAGTGATAACGAAGAAAGTCATAGATTACTGTATTATAGAATCTGGGTGTTGTATTACCGCTAGACAGCGACATCCCATCACCAGAAGTGATCAGCATTATGTGTGTGTGTGACTAGTTGTACCAATGATAATTAACACTATCGGTCACTTTGGACCGGACTCTCGTCCATTATTTTTCTCCCGAGTCCTAACCGAGGACCGGACTTGCGTCCACTACAAAAATATTTGTATAAAATTCATTTTGTATCCAATCAACCTCGGGATAGTATCAATATAAGCGCCTTTAGAATGCGCACAATTTGATACCAAAATGAAAGATGTAACATGAAACTTGATGTCCGAACACTTATATGATTATAAATAAGTTTTTGGTCAAAATTTTTAAATATTTGCTAAAATTCTATTTATTGTGCTATTATGTTGGGACTAGTTTTAAAATGTGCGCCTTTACATCGCGAACAATTTGATACCAAAATGAAAGATGTAACATAAAAATTTTGTCAGAACACTGGAAAGATATAAATAATTTTGCGATGATGAGCTTCCAGAATTAAAATATTTGTTAAAATTCCAGTTATTGCTCTATTATTATGGGACTAGTTTTAAAATACGTGCCTTTTTATTGCGAACAATTTGATACCAAAATGAAAAACATAACACGAAAATTGATGTAATCAAACTGAACGAGTATAAACATTAGGTTGCAGTATACAAATTGGTGCTCGTTCACGGGTAACTTTAGGCTTTTCTGCGGGGAGGCACTCCAGGCTTTTGTACATTATATTCATACACATCTATAGGGAATTTAATTGTGAACACAATGATACCAAAACGAGCAACGTAGCACGAGAATTAAGGTGAGAAAAATGGAACGAGTATGCACATTTTACTGATTTTGTGCGCTCACGAGTAACTTTTGCCGACTTTAGGCTTTGCTGTTGGGAGTCACGCCAGGCTTTTGGACATTATATTTATACACACCTGTAGGGAATTTAATTGCGAACACAATGATATCAAAACGAACGATGTAACACCAGAATTAAGGTGAGAAAACTGAAACGAGTATACACATTTAGGCGTCGCCACACGCTCGCCCGCACCATTGGGGCCATGACGTCAAAGTCTGCGGCGCGCTCGTGGGGTGCCTGGACAATTACCAGGCATTAAATACCTGGATTTATGAATACATGAATACAATTTAATTACCTGGACATTAAATACTTTTTCTGATTTCTGCCACTTAGTTGTTGTTACCTTATATGAGATTCTGCAGTTACTATAAACTGGTGCAGAATTTGGGCAGGTTGACATCTCACGCTGAGGTAGTAGGTAGGGATCTCGTCGAACATCTCCGCGGATGCAAGGAAGATTGACAAAATTTCTCCATCGAGTCTAGAATTACTTCAAGAAGAGTCACTCATCTTCACAGAAACAAGTTTTCAAGCACTTGTCATTATCAGAGAGATCACTGAAGAGTGCCGCACTAAAGTATTCAGCTGACTGCTACCCTTAACTGTCACCAGGTGTCGGTACCCACATGGCAACAGCTATGCCGACCCCAAATTACCCTCTACCGAGTCCCTATAACGTGCTACCTCTTATCTATTAAGCATTGCTCTGGAAAGGTACTAATGAATAAATACATGTTAAGGTATGCCTGAAGCTCCTTATGAAAAATTATTATAATTATTCATTAGTTAGCTTGTTAACATATATATATCAGAGATTATAATAATAATTGTTATTCAAAAGAATGTGTGTACAAAGAGCATAGGAGTAAGGGACCATTGTCGGGACAGGTGATCCACGTACTGTACTAGTGAAGGGCTTCCAGAAAAATTTGGTATAATTTAGATACAAATTATTGAAAGGTGTAAAAGGGGTAAACACTTAATACTAAAAGTAGTAGTAAGTAGTGAGGAAAAATAACATGATATACAATGTGAAGGGGGATACTTAATGGTGACAAGCAGAGACTATTACATAATGGTGCTTGTAGTTCCGGCTGCAGAACAGTAGTTTAACATTAATAAGAGGAGGGAAATACAAAGCACGAGAAAAGAAAATCATTAATGGTAACAAAACAATTATCTATTGTTTATTTTATTTCTATTTATGTACTTTAAGTTACATTTAGCAGTGTTATTGCATGTTTTGGTGGTCATTTGGTGCTGTAATTAATACATATGTATAATTTTGAACCTTGGAATTGTGGCATTTAGATATAGTCCAAGAAAATAAAATACACTAAAAGCTATATAGCGATACCTCAGTTTTCGAATTTAATCCGTTCTGAGAGATCTTGCTTAACACTTTTGCCCGGGCATGACGCAGCATTGCGTCATCCGTTTACTGTCGGTAATGCCGGGGATGACGCAGCATTGCGTCATCCACTTTAAATAATCGCCAAAAATCAGGTTTTTATCAGATTTTTTTGGGACTGGTTTTAAAATGCGCGTCGATGTCTTCCCATTTTCCTTGTTGCACCTCGTGGCCCACAGGCAGCTCGGCACACGCCGTCGGCCCATTGTTTTCGCTCCACTGTTGTGACCAATGTCACCTCCCCTCGCATCTCAAACGTGTGAACATTTCGGCTATTTTCCGTGGCTATATTTCTTACTGTGGCTTTAGAAACTATCTACGCTTACTCCACGATGGATAGTGATCATGAACAAGGCCCTTCCAGGAAGAAAATTGCAAAAGAAAGGCTTGAAAAGGGCGGGAATTGGGAGTGTAGCTGGAAGGCGTCTGAGCGCTCGCTCACGGCTAACGCGTGGCCCGTCTTCAACTCGTCAGCGGTTGGAGCGTGACCAGGTTTTTTATTTTATATGCCAATGTTCCTCTAGAGAATTCTATTGCGAACCCATTGAGACCAAAATGAAAGACCTAGGACGAAAATTGAGGTGACCAGAGTGAAAATAGTGAAAACATTTTATCCCGTTTGCGCGCTCCCGGGTAACTCGTTGGCACTTTCTCTGTTTGCTGCGGGTAATTAGCCGGGCTTTTGGAGTTTATATGCATTTAGTGCTGTAGAGAATTCTATTGCGAACACAATGATACCAAATTTAATCTCGTAGGACGAGAATTAAGGTGACAAAGTTGAAAAGAGTATACACTTTTCAGAATTTACGCGCGCTCCCCCGACACCCTGGGACCCATATAGCACAGTTGAGGGGTGGCGCGCGGGGTACGCCAAAGTGTTAATACAATGAGTGAATCATCGCTGTACTCAAAAATATGGTGTGCATATTGTTGATTCAATTATGTTCATCAATTAGTGAACAAATACTTTGTCGGTTATTACACTATAAGCACAGGTTATATATAAGTATCTGCATGTTTTGTTCACTATAACGTACCACTAAGTAGCTATTATGAGTCAAAAAGTAATGAGGAGTGACCGCCGTGTACCAGCCAGTCACTCCCGCCCTCCCTCCAGTCATCTGACTCACCCACATTCTCCTCCCACAATACTGTTTTTTCTATAATTCACTATATACAGATGTTATATATAAGTATCTACATGTTTTGTTCACCATAACTGTATATCTAAGCTTGTATGGTAAGTAAAGGCACAAAGACGTGGGACCTCACACAGTCAGCTGATGGCTGCCGCCCTCAAGGTCACACGCACTAATATTTCTCCTCCAACAATACTGTGTGGTGTTATTACGCTATATATCTTATATACAGACGTTACATATAAGTATTTACATGTTTTGTTCACCATAACTGTACATCTAGGCTTGTATGGTAAGTAAAGGCACAAAGACGTGGGACCTCACACAGTCAGCCGATGGCTGCCGCCCTCAAGGCCAGACGCACTAATATTTCTCCTCCAACAATACTGTGTGGTGTTATTACTCTATATACACACATTATATACAAATATCTACCTGTTTTATTCACCATACTTGTACAAATAAACTGGTATGGTGCCCAAAGGCCATCGTGGTAACCAGTAAACAACACCGTCGTCTGCACGGTGGCGTCGTCTGCCACCGCGGTGGCAGACGTGGTGAGGCCACCGCCCTCACCAAAATGGCGGCTCCAAACCTTCTCTTGCTGTTTATACCCTCTATACACACGTTATATATAAGTATCTACATTTGTGTTCACCATAGCGAACCACTAAGCTGGTATGCTGAGTGCAGTAATAAAAGGTGGCCACACACAGTCAGAAGACATCACCACCATCCTCCCTCCCACAGCATTACTCCTCCCTCCATGGCGCACAGGGGTCCGTCTAATTACCACAAGCTACCACAAGCTACACAAGCTTCAGAAAGCTTCCTGGCAATACGTTAGTAATGAATAAATATGATATGTTAGGTTAGGCTGACCTAACCTAACCTAACCTAACTAACCTATCCTAACCTATCCTAACCTATCCTAACCTATCCTAACCTATCCTAACCTATCCTAACCTATCCTAACCTATCCTAACCTATCCTAACCTATCCTAACCTATTCTAACCTATCCTAACCTAACCTAACTTAACTTAACCAAACCTAACCTAACCTAACCGACGCTTGGATCGTCGACTTAATTTGGCGTCACCAGCTTTTTATTTTCGCCTAATTTCTTTATAAAAAGATACTTTTTCAGATTAAAATTATGTTTTTTCGTGTTGTACATTCAGCACCAACATTATAATGAGTAAATATATCATATTTATTCATTACTAACGTATTGCCAGGAAGCTTTCTGAAGCTTGTGTAGCTTGTGGTAATTAGACTGACCGGCGCACAGCACTAAATATCACCACAATCCTGCTATTATCAGAACCCTGGTCAGTTTTATCACAGTCAGGGGTCTTCTGTAATAATATCATCGCTACATAATAGCATGAACAAGTATATTTTGGCATTTTTAGGCGATGCTGTGGTCACAAGCTGAACAGCAGTGCTGTTAGCTCATGCTGCGTGTGTCAGACTTGGTTGCTCACTCAATACTGAGGCCAATAACACCTGGGAGTTTGGCCCACGATTTTTTTTAATAATGGCGTCTGTTTACAAGAGCCCTGATGAAGGTGTGGTGAACCCCGTGTATCCGCGGGCCGTTTAAATCTTGCGTAGTACTCCAACACATCATATGACGTGATGCGCAGTCGACTGGAACAACGTCCAACACGTCATATGACGTGATGCGCACTTTAAGGGTTAAAAAAAAGACATTGGTTGACAATAGAGGGGTAAGGTAGGTTACAGGGAATTTATTAGGTATAGCTTCGTTTTTATCTTAAACTGGTTGAGAGAGGTACTGTCTTTAACATGGTTGGGAAGGTCATTCCACAATCTGGGTCCCTTGATTTGTAGAGCATTTCTAGTTTGATTAAGTCGTACTCTAGGAATATCAAAACTATTTATTTCTGGTGTGGTGCTCATGGGTTCTGTTACAACCTTCTATGAAGCTTTTGAGGTCAGGATTGGCATTAAAGTTTAGTGTTTTATATATGTATAATACACATGAGAGAATGTGCAGTGACTTTGTCTAACATATTCAGAGATTTGAGTAGGGGTACTGAGTGATGTCTGGGGCCAGAGTTGGATATTGTCCTAATAGCAGCTTTGTGTTGAGTAATTAGAGGACGTAAATGATTTTGGGTAGTAGAACCCCAAGCACAAATACCATAGTTGAGATATGGATAGATGAGGGAGTAATAGAGAGTCACCAGGGCAGGGCGGGGTACATAATATCTGATCTTAGAAAGAATGCCAACAGTTTTTGAAACTTTTTTTATATATTTAGAATGTGTCCCTGGAAATTCAGCTTGTGGTCAATGAGAATGCCAAGGAATTTGCCATCTAATTTGTTACAAATTTGGGTATTGTTTATTTTGAGATTTATTTGATTAGAGGATCTATTGCCAAACAGAATATAGAAAGTTTTGTCAATGTTAAGGGTGAGTTTGTTGTCAGTTAGCCAAAGATGGACTTTATTTAGCTCAGTATTTACTGTGGCATTTAGAGCAAGGGGGTCAGGACTGGAGTAAATGAAGGTTGTGTCGTCAGCAAATAGAATTGGTTTGAGGTGTTGCGAGGCATTTGGAAGGTCATTAATGTAGATGAGAAAGAGGAGAGGGCCAAGTATGCTGCCCTGAGGAACACCAATGTTGATGGGTAGGGTGGGAGAAATTGAATTATTCACAGAAACATACTGGAGCCTGTCAGTAAGGTAGGATCTGAGGTATTGCAGGGAGTGTCCTCTGACTCCATAATGATGTAATTTAAGAAGAAGGTTTTGGTGGTTGACAGTGTCAAAAGCCTTACACAGGTCCACAAATAACCCAACAGGGAACTCATTTTTATCAAGAGCTGTATGAATTGAGTTAAGCATATTAATAAGTGGTATATTGTGTTTGGCTAGATAAGACTAAAGCTGCTTGTAGATTAGTTTTTCAAAATTTTTTGACAAGTTTGGCAGGATTGATATAGGTCTGTAGTTGTTAACATCTGTGGGATCACCACATTTAATAAACAAATATACTATTAATTAATTCCAATAAATGATTACTAAGAATCAAATTCCAAGTTACTTTAAATATAACAGAGTAATGAAGAAACCTGGGTTTAGTGACAAGGGGGTTAATTAAGAACAAATAATTAGAGTAAAAAACAAGAAATGTCAACAACAAAGATGACAAATTTAAAAAAAAAAAAAACTTTAGAAAGGAAAAGCAGAGCTTGAGTACACTTAGGTAGTATATGAGACTATAATTTATGTTCTGGTTATACAGCTGATATCCCACAGTCATCCAGGAAGGAAGTGAGGTGTGCCTCAGTGGTTATGACATAAGTTTTTCCTGAGTCAGTCTTCCTAGCTATTATTTTACCATCTTGCACAAAACAATGTTTAATTGCAGTGGATTTTTTGCAGATTCCACGTAGTTTAAATAAGAGATTTTGTCTGAATCTGGTCAGACATTCATTCACATAATCAGTGGGTTTACTAGAGACTGCAGCTCTGATAAAGTCTGTCTTGCGGAAGCAGCTATCTAATTTAACACAAATTTTTCTGTTATTTGTACCATTTGATCATTGACCATAAAGTGACAGGCCATTTCATCCAATATCAGCTTGAGTTTATCTCTGAATGATTAATTTTTGTATCTTTAAATTCCCTGCAAAAATTTTGTTAGTTTTAAGACTTGAACACTTGTTAGACTTTAAGACTTGATTCAATGTTTATTATTAGCTTTGCGAAAATATACCACTCGGTCCATTTAGGTGGGCTCTAGGAGACTCAGACCATGGACCCCTCGTGTGTGAGGCTGAAGCTCTATTGACCGAGCTATTGCGTAGTCTTAAGATACTACTGTCACCAAGTGCTCTATTAAGACAGACAGTACAGTCACATTTTATACCACTCAAGTCACTGAAACCTGTGATAACAATGCATTGCACCTTTTTGTATAAATGAAATAAACTAGGTTATTCTACTTTTTCAGACCTCTGGAAGAACCTTGCAATCAAGTTGAGAGTGTGGGAGAGACTGTGACTGTCAAGGACCAGTCACCCCTCTTGAGTGACAGCATGCGTGCTGATGGCAAAGAAAGCATTTTAACGCAGTTCTCTGCCTCATACTTCTCAGACCAGACACAGAAAGCTGCATCCCCACAGGAAACTGCAGAGAAGGTCTCATCACCGGATGCACAACTGCTACAGAATTCTATAAATAATGAAACAGTAAAAGAAAGTCATCACATGCAGTTGAAAAACTGTGAAAGTGTAAATCAGAGCGATAATAACAAGCTGCCAGAAAACTTGAGCTATGGAAGTAATACACTGCCAAATACCTTGAAACAAAAAGTCATGTTGTGTAGAAAAAATCTGCAATCAGCAATGAGTAAAGTAAGAGACACTCAAAAGTTACCAGTAGGGAGTAGTGAAAGCCATGAGATAAAACCACAACTCGCCAGCACCTGTACAAATAGGAAAAGTGTGAGATTGACAAATCCAATACTAAGATCTGGCCAACTGCGGAGACCCTTTGATAAAGTGAAGAGCTCAGTTGGGCAGACGGCTAATGATAATTCTAAGGAATCTACCGAAGCATTTGTAAGTTCTCGAGCGATAACTGACATGGGAAAGGCAAATGCTGAGCGTAATGTGTTTGACAGTGGTAATTTAAAACTAAATTGTCACCCAGAATCTGCTGTACTAAATGAAAAAATGCCTCTAAATAAAACTTCTCTAACTTACTGCAATACAGAGGACACTCCACAAAACTTAAGGTCATCGTCTTCAATGATACCTTCATTACACCCTCACTCATCAACAGCAGGAAAACAATCCAATGGTTCTTCCGAGTTAATGGAATCTCTACAAAATACACCATGTGTCTTGGATGACTTGAAGTTAGATAATGAATATAATGGAGTTGTCATGCTGGTTGAAGACGATTGCATGAAGTTTACTGCTCTTGTTTTGGTTGATGCTGTTAAAACTGTAGTCTTTGAAGGACATGAGGTATTGGCCAGTGTTCCCCAGGACCCAACATTTAAGCCTGTGGTTGGATCTCGAGTGGCTGCAGTTTCGTCATTTGACAATACCTGGTGTCGTGCGTATGTGTATAAAATAGAAGGTGAGAAGTTCCATGTGTTTTTTATAGACTTTGGTAATATGGAAACGGTACATGTGGTTAAACCTCTTCCAGCAGGGCCATTTTCGGAGTTACCAGGTCTTGCCTTCATTGCCAAAGTTCATTCTAAAGTGACACCTGAAATTCAGCAGCAGCTGCAGACAGTTATAACAGTAAATACTGAAATAAAGTTCAAGGTTGTTGGTAAAAAGTCAAAATCTCTGAAAGTTTTATTGTTGCAGAGTTGCTCAGACAGTGTAATTACAGACTTTATCCTAAGACCATGGTACTTTGCTCTTCCTTTGCCACAAGACTCCAAGATGACGATATCAAGGACCACTCCAGGGCATCTGGCAAAATTTGATGTGAAGCCCAGTGCACCAGAGGCTAACTTCTGCCAGGACAGACCAGTAGATGATAAGTCAAATAAGATAAATTCTGAACAGATACCTTTAAATTCATCTTCTAAGGCAAACCTCACAAAACATACAGGATTTGTTCCGCTTTCCGCTCAGAGATCTGTGGCATTGAAGAGCTCGTGTCCAATTGGTGAACGTGCTAAAAGCGTACCAGGTGTTAATGTTCTTGAGCAATGTTCTCTTAAAAATCAACCAGATAATGTAAGAGGGCAGAAATTTATAGGCAATGAGTCTTTGAAAATTAAGGATAACAAATCTTCATTGCTAAGCTTGCCTCCAAAAACCTCCACGGCTAGAGAGAAGTTTTGGGCTCGAGACCTTGGCAAGATAGAGTTGAAATGCGACCACGATTATAAAGTGCTTCCGGTGTCGGTTGACGCGGAAAATCACCTGTACGTGCACATTGTGACAAACAAGTCTATTGGGGACTTTCAGCAGTTGATGGAAAGCATTACAGTACATTGTGAGACAGGTATGTACTGGTTCAGTTGATGACATGAGAAATGCTTAGATATAATAGGCATCTGAATTGGAAGGCTTAGCATAGTTGAGGGCATTAATTAATGTTTGTTAGATGATATCCCAATTGATATTTGGGTATCATTAATTAATGCTTAGGCAAGCATTAATACTAAGATTAAATATAAATATCATTAATTAATGCTTAGACAATGTATTAGTTAATACTTAAATCAGAGTGCATTAATGCTAGATTAGCATTAATAAATACCTAGATTAAATACCATTAGTGAAATATTGGATTAAATAGTATGAAATAATGTTTTGATTATGATGTATCAAATAATGTCAGGTAGGATAATATCCATAGTAATTATTTCTTTAGGTTGACCCAAGCCTGAGGATGACATGGTTGACCATATACAGTAATGTGCATGGCATTTGGGATTAATAAATATATTAAACCACCAGTTCACTGTACAGCACAGAACTGTAAAGTGAACTGTACTTTGGCTAAATTCTGTTGTCCTCAGATTGTAACATCTAGATGAATATACTAGTAGAGGGGCGCGAGTGGCCGAGTGGAGAGCGCACTGGATACGTAGTCCCGAGATCCAGGGCTCGATTCCCGGCGCCGGCGGAAAAAAAAATTGGCAGTTTCTTTCACCCCGATGCCCCTTTTACCTAGCACCAAATAGGTAGCTGGGAGCTAGACAGCTGTTATGGGCTGTTTCCTGTAATTACCTAAGTGTAGTGGCAGCTGGTCTGGATGACAACCTACATCGGCGAAGGCTCAGCGAAACTATACTCTTGTGTGGACCACCAGCCCAGAGTTGCCAGCTCACACAGATATTTATTCCCTCTCAAAATGTTTCCTTCAAAGTCAACATATAGATATAAACCAGAATTAAGATATTCTATACACAAGGCAAGACCTGTCTGTAACCACAAACATCCTGTCTGGGCCTTCACTACCCTGACACACATGTACCCCACACTCACTCACTCACTCTCGCCTAATCTCATTCTCACTCACTCACTCACTCACTCTTATACTCACACTTACACTCTCTCTCACACTCTCTCTCACACTCACACACTCACACACTCACACACTCACACACACACACACCCTTCTACCCCATTGACTTCAATTCCATCTACTCCATCCCAGCTTCCACTGCACCCCTCTTCCACTCACCCCCAAACCCCACCCAACCCTCACCCCTCCTATGCACCTCCAGCCCACATTTAACCCCCTCACCTTGTGACCCCCTAACACCTTCCCCCAACTCCCTCTTCCCCTCTTCTACCCCAAAACCCCCACCTACCCCCGATTCCCCCCTAACTAATATACCCTCTCTTCCACTCCCAGCACCCATGCTCCATTCTCATCTCAGCTCTCCGCCCTCAGTATCCCTCTTCCCCCCAACCTCTCAACCTCTATCTGACTCTCAGTCTCACTCTATTTCTCAACCCCCCTATGCTATTCAGACCCCTAACTTTCAGACCCATTATGCCCTTCCTACCCCCCTAAATGCCCAGACCCCATTCGCCTACCAGGCACTCCCAGGCACCCCCCTAGCACCCCCCCACTCACCCCCACAGCCCCCACTTGCCCCCCAGACACCCCCCAGTTCCCCCCAGACCCCTGGTGAAAGGGGGAACTCTGACACCCGAGTTTCCAAGAAGAGTCTCAAGGTTTGGTACACCAATGCTGATGGGGTAGCCAATAAAGCAGAAGAGATAAAAGAAAGAGTTAGTGAGGCAGACCCAGACATAGTGGCAATAGTGGAAACTAAAATAAATGGCATGATCTCGGATGCAATCTTTCCAGAGGGGTACCAGGTGATAAGAAAAGAAAGGACACAGAGACAGGGAGGAGGAGTGGCACTACTAATAAAGCGGAAATGGAAGTTTGATGAGCTGGAAAATCCGGGTACCAATGAAAGCACAAGCTTCATACATGGAACTCTGACAGTGGATGGGAAGAAGATTGTAATCTTGATACTCTACAATCCCCCACCAAACAGTAGAAGGCCCAGGCAGGAGTACGAGGACAGCAACAAGACATGTATGGATGAACTGCAGAGGGCAGCAACTTTAGCGCATAGAATGAGAGCGAAGCTGCTGGTCATGGGGGACCTAAATCACGGAGAGATAAATTGGGAAACGAGGAATCCCCATGGCGGGGAGGAGACCTGGGGAGCGAAGCTGGTAGACGTTATTGACAGGAATTTCCTAACACAGCATGTGAAAGAAGATACTAGGGAAAGAGGAGGGGATACGCCCAGCCTATTAGATCTCATTATCACTCAGAATGTAGAAGACATCGAGCAGTTGGAACATGAAATACCACTAGGAGCTAGTGACCATTGTGTCCTAGTCTTTGACTACATGATGGAGCTTAAAATTGTGACCAAAGGACAAGAGGTCCGGGAAAGGAGACTTGATTACAGAAAAGGGGACTACAGAAGGATAAGGGACTACCTGGGAGAATTGCAGTGGGAGGAAGAACTTAGAGGAAAAACAGTGCAAGGTATGATGAACCAAGTCATATTGAAATGCAAGGAGGCTGAAGATAGATTTATTCCAACAATAAAGGAAAAAAGCAGGAGGGAATATAATAACCCATGGTTTAATAGACAGTGTCAGGAAGCAAAGGTGAGAAGCAGGAGGGAGTGGAGGAAGTACAGAAGACAAAGGACAGAGGACAACAGGATTAGATGTAACAGAGCTAGGAATGATTACATTAACATAAGACGAGTGTCGGAAAGAAATTATGAGAACGATATTGCAGTCAAAGCGAAAAAGCAACCAAAATTACTACATAGCCATATAAGAAGGAAGATGTCGGTAAATGACCAAGTGACAAGACTGAGGAAAACAGAAGGGGCATATACAGAAAGCGACAAGGAAATCTGCGAGGTACTGAATGCAAAATTCCATGGAGTGTTCACAACCGAGCCTGAGCAGCTCCCATTGTTAGAAGAGATTACCCAAGATGAAAGACTATCGGATATAGAGGTGACAGCAGAGGATGTAATGAAACAGTTGACAACACTGGATGCAAATAAAGCTGTTGGACCAGACAAAGTATCACCGTGGATACTCAAAGAGGCAGCGCAGGCTCTCAGCGTGCCTCTGGCAATGATCTTTAATGAGTCACTTATGTCGGGAGAATTGCCCAGTTGCTGGAAGGAGGCAAATGTCGTACCGATTTTCAAAAAGGGTGATAGGGAGGAGGCACTTAACTACAGACCCGTATCACTGACAAGCATCCCCTGCAAAATACTTGAAAGAATAATTAGGCTAAGACTTGTTGAGCACCTGGAGAGCATTGGGTTTGTAAACAAGCACCAACATGGGTTCTGGACAGGGAAATCATGCCTAACAAACCTTTTAGAATTCTATGATAAAGTAACAAGGATAAGGCAGGACAGAGAAGGCTGGGCAGACTGCATATTTCTTGACTGCCAAAAGGCCTTTGATACGGTACCGCACATGAGACTGCTATACAAACTTGAGAGGCAGGCAGGAGTAAGCGGAAAGGCCCTAGTATGGGTGAAGAACTACCTAACAGGAAGGAGCCAGAGGGTAATGGTAAGGGGCGAAAAGTCGGACTGGCGAACAGTAACAAGTGGAGTACCTCAAGGATCGGTGCTGGGACCAATCCTCTTTCTAATTTACGTAAATGATATGTTTACAGGAGTGGAATCATACATGTCAATGTTTGCAGATGACGCAAAATTAATGAGAAGAGTTGTGACAGACGAGGATTGTAGGATCCTCCAAGAGGACTTAAACAGGCTGCAGAGATGGTCAGGGAAATGGCTACTGGAGTTTAACACCAGTAAATGTAAAGTTATGGAAATGGGATCAGGTGACAGGAGACCAAAGGGACAGTACACAATGAAGGGGAACAGCCTACCTGTAACGATTCGAGAAAGAGACCTGGGAGTGGATGTGACACCTAATCTAACTCCTGAGGCACATATAAATAGGATAACGACAGCAGCGTACTCTACACTGGCGAAAATTAGAACTTCATTCAGAAACCTAAATGAGGAAGCTTTTAGGGCGCTTTACACTGCCTACGTGAGACCCGTCTTAGAGTATGCCGCGCCATCATGGAGCCCCCACCTGAAGAAACACATAAAGAAACTGGAGAAGGTTCAGAGGTTTGCGACGAGGCTTGTCCCAGAGCTACGAGGGATGGGATATGAAGAGCGGCTGAAGGAACTGAACCTTACGACACTAGAGAAAAGAAGGGAGAGAGGAGATATGATAGGGACATATAAAATACTCAGGGGAATTGACAAAGTGGAAATAGATGAAATGTTCACACGTAATAATAACAGAACGAGGGGACATGGGTGGAAACTGGAAACTCAGATGAGTCACAGAGATGTTAGGAAGTTTTCTTTTAGCGTGAGAGTAGTAGAAAAATGGAATGCACTTGGGGAACAGGTTGTGGAAGCAAATACTATTCATACTTTTAAAACTAGGTATGATAGGGAAATGGGACAGGAGTCATTGCTGTAAACAACCGATAGCTAGAAAGGCGGGATCCAAGAGTCAATGCTCGATCCTGCAAGCACATATAGGTGAGTACATATAGGTGAGTACACAGTTTCTATGATCGAGCCACAGAGATATTACAGGAAAGAGATGGTTGGGTTGACTGCATCTATCTGGACCTCAAAAAGGCTTTCGACAGAGTTCCACATAAGAGGTTGTTCTGGAAACTGGAAAATATTGGAGGGGTGACAGGTAAGCTTCTATCATGGATGAAAAATTTTCTGACTGATAGAAAAATGAGGGCAGTAATCAGAGGCAATGTATCGGAATGGAGAAATGTCACAAGTGGAGTACCACAGGGTTCAGTTCTTGCACCAGTGATGTTTATTGTGTACATAAATGATCTACCAGTTGGTATACAGAATTATATGAACATGTTTGCTGATGATGCTAAGATAATAGGAAGGATAAGAAATTTAGATGATTGTCATG